CACTTGGACCCTGCATGTACTCGTGTCATTGCTCAGCAGCCTGCTATGCTCTGACAACCTTGGGACTTACAATGGACTTAAGTTAATGGCCTGCCATGTGGTTTGGTAACATCGGGACTGTGCCTTTTTACTTGTCAACCTTGGGGCTTCTCAGCCTCAGCAGCCAACAGCTGTCTTGAGTGAAGAAACACCTCTAGCTCCAGTGGGCTGGGAGCAGGAGGCAGAGCTGGACCCCAAGGTTGAGGGGCTTTCACGCAGCCCCTAGAGCCTGGCACTTTGAACTTGGACTTAAAGTCTTCAAATTGTAAGAATAAACTGTGTGTTAAGGCCATCCCATTTATGGTATATTTCTTGTCAGAGCGGCACTAGGTAACCAGAACAGAATATGGTACCGAGAGAGTGGGGTACTGCTCTGACAGATACCTAGAATGTGGAAACAGGAACAGAGTGAGTCCTTGACCTGAGACCCTGGCAGAGAGACCTTAGCATACAGCATGACAGATGGCAGGAGCAGAGCAAGAGACCGGCATGAAAGACGGTAGGAGCGGAGCCAAGAGAACCGGCATGAGACAATAACAGCCTTACCAGCCCATGGAGGGGAAAGCTTGATGCCTTTGGTTAGGCGGCTTCCTGGAGGAGTGGGTTGCCTTTGGGTGTTAATTCGTAGAGAAGACTGGCATAAAATGGGGTAGCAGGTTTGGCCGGCCCACAGAGCAAGATAGCTGAGTGTTTCTAGAGCAGGAAGATTTCCTGCAGCGTGGGTTGCATTTGGCATTAATCGGCAGAAGCGGAGACCAAAGAAACGGAAGCAGAGCTGCCTCAGCCTGAAAGGGTAGGACCATGGCCTTTGGGGGTGGAACGATCACAGCCCCCTAGCTTTCAAAGAGCCAGGCCTTCACCAACTTGGTTCTGGAGTGTGGGGCTGCTTGTTCATGTGAGCCAGTGGGATGGAGCCAAAGCCGCTGCCCAAGAGTGAGAGGGTGGGGCTGCCATGCCCAAGACGGAGAGGAACAGGGCCACCAGGCCAAGGGGGTGAGGTCACCACTTAGAGGAACTAGGGGACTGGAGCCACCCAGTGGAGGAGATCTGTACAGATGCCAAGTTGACAAGGGGTGGAATTGTGGTAGTTATGTTTGTGTGTCAACTTAGTTGGGCCTGGTTGAGTGGCTGGGCAGCTGGCGGTAGTTATTTCCCATGATGAGACTGGCAATCAATTCCATGGTGGG